GGAATCGAAAGAGATTACTTCGAACAGCGTCAGCATGAATCTTTCAGTAAAGCCAATCGGCACCCGGTCAAGAGGAATTTCCTGTCGGAATCGACCTTCGAATCTCTTCAACAAAAACTTTTACTCGAAATGGAAGTAACCTCAACAATTAGGAAACAAGAGATTACTCGAAACCTAAGTTGTATTCGCATCAAAATCACTTTCTAAAGTCTGGCTGCCTTAATAGCTTTCAATCCCCGTTCTCGATTACTCGATATGCCCATGCTATTGCCTCGGATTCTTCCTCTATATGCTTCAAACCAGTGATTTCGTTATTCTCTTTCTCATTCTCTTCCACATATTGTCTCATCCTTTGATCTCCTAGGCCATGCTTAAGTCATAAACACTGGTATGAAATTGTATCGTTTCTCTTTTTCACCATGAATCGAGAACTCTCGCACTTCAATCGAAGCTATGAAGACCAAGATGGTGTTGCCTTTTGTATGGTCGCAGTAACCTTTCATTGTATATAGGTTGTTTGACCTTGTTTTCGCAACATATTGGTAGGAGAGTTATTGGAAAGCACCTAGTCCAGGGTCCGTTGTCTGCATAAGCATTTCCAAGGTTGAACCTTAGACATGGTACATTGCCAAACGTTTCGCCGGCATCGTCAGTGAGTATCGCCATCCTAAGCACCAAACAGTAACTTGTAAAAGAGACAAGTGAAGCCAATCCTTTGACCAAACGTATGCTAAACAATTATGGTATCTCCACTTCTGCCCTGGGTTATTCGCGTTTCCGGTAGCATACTATCATGCCTTCACTATTGCAATTTTACCGTGTTTATTTAGATAGTGTGGTTTGCTCCTTTAAGTGACATGACACTATCATTCTCCAACTTTTTTTCTCACTCCCCACCCTCACCCTTGTGCAGGGAATGTTGATCAGAGTCTGCATTATTATTATGCAGTCCTCTTCCCTAGTCTTATCCCAGTCTCCCTCTTGTTCCGTAAAATTCGTCTGCCCTACCCCTTGTTCACCTATTACACTTGACTCCGGCCAAAACATCTATCCTACTCGATGCGTTATTCGCCCTCACCTGCGTCTAGGTGACTAATTTGAGGCGTAAGCCTCTGAGTGTCATGGTCACCCTTTTTCTACATTGACCACGCCTCTGGTACAACCGATCTACCGTCAGCCAACTAGCTCCGGTCCCCGCCATCTCTATCCT